ATGGAATCTGAATAGCATTATCATTTAGTTCTAAAACCCATTCAATAACACACTTATCTTCTTCTTATTGCAGCTTGGTCTCCTCGATCTGTCTATGGACTATGCCACAGTCAACGAGCGAGTTATAGACGTGACCGCTCAACAGAATATGGTATTGAATGTGTGAAGTTACGGGTTAAACATAATTATTAGAATACGAATGCGACACGTGCATTTCTATTAAAATTCATTGTGAACCAGACTTAAGAAAAATATCACAATGCACCCCAAGGTGGATATGCTTTCTGTGTGATCGCCAGTAAAACTGACTATGTACCTCCTGTTACCCTGCTGGAAAAGGAAGTTGATCCTGTATGCGCCGCTGGAGTTACTCTTGCCATCCTAATTTTAAGAGTTCCTTCTTTTGTTAGATTATGGCAATTATCTTTATCAATATTGTGATACAAGCGAAGGTATTTAAGAGAATATCATGGCCAGGAGATGACCCCCAAATGACATTTGGTTCGTGCTTTATTTCCCAAGTATGAAGAACATTGGCATATACTTACTTTGCCATATAATAACATACTTGGCTGTGCTATTTGAAAGCAAGTAGTGAACTAAGAAATCTTAGTCTAAAATGGCAGAAATAGATACTGTTTTGATGGTGCACTTTAAACTTTTATTCATTTCTGTAGAGTCGGCATCTGGATCCGTCAGTGGAATATGCTACGGTCAATAAACAACGCAACATTTCATCAAATCTTGGTTCATCTTCTGCCCAGGTATTAAATAGCAATATCTAAAATCTAAATAGATATGCATATACTATACGTAAATATATATATATATATATATGCATATAATATATTGATCATATAGAAAAAACACATATATTTATATTTACTTATCAAAACTTGTCGATTATCTCTCGCAGCTGTACTCTCATTTTTTATTTCTCTATCAGAGAGAGAGGGATAGATAGACATATGCTCCATTTAACAATGTCGAAAATGATGGAGAAAAACAGCAACAAATAAACAGACAAACTACTCATAGCAAAAAGAGATCACATGGCATCTGAATAGCCTCATCATTTAGTTTTAACACCCATTTAATAACACACTTATCTTCTTCTTATTACAGCTTGGTCTCCTCGATCTGTCTTTGGACTATGCCACAGTCAGCGAGCGAGTTATAGACGTGAATGCTGAGCAGAATATGGTATTGAATGTTGAAGCAACGTATACAAGATCATTATAAGATTACGAATACGACATGTGCATTTCTATCAAAATTCTATGTGACCCATAATTATATTTATGAAAAACATCACAATGTACCCTACAGTGGATATGTTTTCTGTGTGATCGCCAGTAAAAGTGACTATGTACCTCCTGTTACCCTGCTGGAATAGGAAATACTCCTGTATGCGCCGCTGGAGTTACTGTAGCCATGTAAATATTAAGAGTTCCTTATTTTGTTAGATTCATATGGCAATTATCTTTATCAATATCGTGAAACTAGTGTAGACAACTAAGAGCATATCACTGCCAGGAGATGATCCCACATTATATTTAGTCCGTACTTTTTTCAAAAGTATGACAGACATTGACATACATACTCGGCCATATCATCAGCGATTATACCGGATTATTCAGATGCAATTTATAAACTCTCAACACTTTCCGGTATATAAGACAAAAAAGGCAGAAATACGAATTGTTTTGATTGTGTACCTTAAACCAGAAGACGATGGGGTGTCACATCATACTATATTTCATTCATTTTGTAGAGTGGGCCTCTGGATCCGTCAGTGGAGTATGCCACAGTTGATAAGCAACGCAACATTTCTTCAAATCTTTGTTCATCATCTGCTCAGGTATAAATTTGCAATGTATTTTCTTTTGAAATAGACTTTACCGTAGAAACTCCATGTTTGCCAAGTATATACCGTGGAAACTCCATACTGGCAAGATATACCCACAATTCCAACCTTGACCAAACACCTTCAAATACTCTTTTTTTTTCTTCTCGAAAGCCAGTTTTTCCTTGATTGGTGATCATTCATATACTGTATGAAAAATATCACTAGTAATTCACATACGCTTAAAACCCTCTTACATACATACCTACTTGAATACAACGTATATGATATAGGTATATACACATAGATGTATATTAACTTATCAAAACTTATTCATTCTCTATCTCTCTCTCTCTCTGTCTGAACTCTCGCTTTTTATTTCTCTATCAGAGAGAGAGAGGGATGGATAAACATATGCTCCATTTAACAAAGTTAAAAATGGGGAAAAAGAGCAACAAATAAACAGACAAGATACTTCTAGCAAAAAGATGACATATGACATCTAAATAGCATTATCATTAAGTTCTAACACCCATTCAATAACACACTTATCTTCTTCTTATTGCAGCTTAGTCACCTTGATCTGTCTTTGGACTATGCCACGGTCAGCGAGCGAGTTACAGACGTGACTGCTCAACAGAATATGGTATTGAATGTTGAAGCAACGTTTACAAGATCATTATAAGATTACGAATACGACATGTGCATTTCTATCAAAATTCTATGTGACCCATAATTATATTTAAGAAAAACATCACAATGTACCCTACAGTGGATATGTTTTCTGTGTGATCGCCAGTAAAAGTGACTATGTACCTCCTGTTACCCTGCTGGAATAGGAAATACTCCTGTATGCGCCGCTGGAGTTACTGTAGCCATGTAAATATTAAGAGTTCCTTATTTTGTTAGATTCATATGGCAATTATCTTTATCAATATCGTGAAACTAGTGTAGACAACTAAGAGCATATCACTGCCAGGAGATGATCCCACATTATATTTAGTCCGTACTTTTTTCAAAAGTATGACAGACATTGACATACATACTCGGCCATATCATCAGCGATTATACCGGATTATTCAGATGCAATTTATAAACTCTCAACACTTTACGGTATATAAGACAAAAATGGCAGAAATACGAATTGTTTTGATTGTGTACCTTAAACCAGAAGACGATGGGGTGTCACATCATACTATATTTCATTCATTTTGTAGAGTGGGCCTCTGGATCCGTCAGTGGAGTATGCCACAGTTGATAAGCAACGCAACATTTCTTCAAATCTTTGTTCATCATCTGCTCAGGTATAAATTTGCAATGTATTTTCTTTTGAAATAGACTTTACTGCAGAAACTCCATGTTTGCCAAGTATATACCGTGGAAACTCCATACTGGCAAGATATACCCACAATTCCAACCTTCACCAAACACCTTCAAATACTCTTTTTTTTTCTCGAAAGCCAGTTTGTCCTTGATTGGTGATCATTCATATACTGTATGAAAAATATCACTAGTAATTCACATACGCTTAAAACCCTCTTACATACATACACACTTGAATACAATGTATATGATATAGGTATATACACATAGATGTATATTAACTTATCAAAACTTATCCATTCTCTATCTCTCTCTCTCTCTCTGTCTGAACTCTCGCTTTTTATTTCTCTATCAGAGAGAGAGAGAGAGGGATGGATAAACATATGCTCCATTTAACAAAGTTAAACATGGGAAAAAAGAGCAACAAATAAACAGACAAGATACTTCTAGCAAAAAGAAGACATATGACATCTAAATAGCATTATCATTAAGTTCTAACACCCATTCAATAACACACTTATCTTCTTCTTATTGCAGCTTAGTCACCTTGATCTGTCTTTGGACTATGCCACAGTCAGCGAGCGAGTTACAGACGTGACTGCTCAACAGAATATGGTATTGAATGTTTGGAGCAACGGATACGAAATCATTAATAGAATACGAATGCCACACGTGCTTTTTTATAAAAATTCATTGTGAACTTCACTTTAAGAAAAATAACAATCCACCCCAACTATGGCGTACTGCGTGACCGCCAGTAAAACTGACTGTGTACCTCCTGTTACCCAGCTGGAAAAGGAAGTTGATCGTGTATGCGCCCCTTGAAATTACTCTTGCCATCTAAATATTAAGAGTTCCTTATTTTGTTAGATTTATATGGCAATTATCTGTATCAATATTGTGTTACAAGTGTAGGTATTTGAGAGAATATCACGGCCAGGAGATGATCCCCCATTATATTTAGTTCGTACTTTATTTCCAAAAATATGAGGGACTTTGACGTACATACTCGGCGATATCATAAAACATTATACCGGGTTTAATATTTTACTGCAAGTAGGAAAATTTCTAAATATTTTGAGGAACTTTTAACACCGACAAAAACAGAAATACATATATGATAGTGTACTTCAAACCAGAAGACGATGAGGTCTCGCATCATAACATTGTTTATTCATTTCGTAGAGAGGGTCTCTGGATCCGTCAGTGGAGTATGCCACAGTCGATAAGCAACGTAACATTTCCTCAAATCCTGGTTCATCTTCCGTTCAGGTATTGATAATCAAAACATTTTCTTTTGATAAAGACTAAACCTTAGAAACCTACAATACCCACACTTAACCAAACACATTCAAACACACGGTTTTTCAAGAGCCAGTTTCCCCTTATAACTCGAAATTTATGTCATTTAGCATTTGTTCATGTTTTGATTGAGTTATGGAAATATAATTATTTTAATTGAATTAATCTACATTCAGTTGCTGTGATATGTCATAACAAAAAAAAAGATTTCTTCATAATAGCTTAGTGCAAGAGGTTTTTATTAATAAGAAAACAATATTAAAATCTACACTTTTATTTACCGAAATAGAAATCTGCACTAAGAAACAGTATTGATTTTAGGGAGTAAAACCATATGGGAGGCCGGGAAGTGGCTGCTATACTACAGATATTAGCTGGTAGGGTGTGTAATATAACATTATTTGGACCGCCGAAGGGAGTTATATTTTCGCAAGGGGCTAAATGATCAACCATGCAGATACCATGCCTACGAAAAATCAGTATTTATTATCTTAACCCGTTTATGTCATATCGAAACAGAAAGGAGATGTTGAACAACCAGAACAGTCACTAAGAAAGGAGATAGGGAGAAGAGGAAATGTACCACACGTGTACACTGCATCAGCAAATGGACTGGTAACTATAGTATTTATAATCTCCTATGATGATTTAGAGTATAACAAGGCCAGAAAAATTAAGGCACTAAAAATCCAATTAATCTAATAAGTTGTTAACACAAATCTATGTTTTAATGTAATAACAATATGTAGTGTAATAGCTTATGTTCATCTGATATTTTTAAAACATTTTTATGACATGAACATGATATTACAAAAAATCCAAGTATCACGTTTTTAGTGTGATATTGAAGGTATTCTTTAAGAACGCAAAGGAAGTTTGTTTCAAACTGTGAATTTTCACAAGTATTGCGTAGTTGAAACTAAAGCTACCATCAGGTTAACAGAAATTTAAAAGTTTCAAAGAAGAAGAAAACCCTGTATCATATGAATACAATAGATTTTCTATTAAGAAGTTCTGTAATATTTTGTCTGTGTTTCTGCAGTTGCCTTGATGTTCAGATGTTGTTGAAATGTCTAATTTAATTAGTTTTGTTAAGCACCAGGGGCAGTCATGTGTGTTTGATACGTAATGAAAGCATTCAAATACTCAAGATAAAGCTTTCGTTGGTTTTAATTGTTCACATATTCTTGGACGAAATTGATCACGTTTATTTTTGTCTTTGTTAATCTAACACTGAAGGCCGAGTATGCAGTTGTAGACACAACTAGAGAAGAGAGAAATAAAGGGCAATCAAGAGCTCATCAAAGGAATATGGTTAGTTTTAGAAAATCAAGTTTTTTTCTATGTTAGCTGGCAGTCCTAAACTTTAAGGAAAATTTTTCTTCCTTACATGTACTGATATGTCCTTCTTTAGTACATGTACTTACGTACTACATTGAATTGATTTGTTATTTTGGTACGAGCAGTCATCTTGAATAAGATTTTGATTTAAGGATACCACTCGACATAATGCCATTGATATTTAACTTATCTGATATTCTGAAAGAGAAAAATGAAAAGTATTTGTTTCTAAAAATAACTCACTCGCAGGCATCTTGAACACTTCCATATTACTTCGATTTTTTGTTGCTGTGCCTCTCTGCACTGTAGGTCATTTGACTCGCAAGAAATGTTGCACAAAATAAGAGGCACTACTTCCATGACAGCAGGATCGGTTTTGATATCACAATGATTTTGTAAATTACCAATTTCCGCTCTTAATGGCTCCATAACAACCTTTTTAACGTCGGTATAGAACAATATTTTACTCTAAACGATGACAAAATTGAAAGATAAATACGAAGTGGTAAAGGAAAATTGTATAAAGAGTTGCAGCCTATCTGCACACGTTTGGCAATGAGGGATCAGACCTCCCTGCATGGTCACTGACAAGTGGTTATCTCATTAAATCGGCTCTCAATTAACATACGAAAAAGGGGACCATGGGGGACCAACGGTCACCGCTTAGGCATTGTTTGCTATATAGAGGGCGCAAGTAGCTATAAGTAGTTCAGTGTGGATTTAAAGGAGTTTCTTTCAGGTCAATCTCAGATTTCAAGGATGACTTTTCACAAAGACATATCTCAAGGATTTCCTTGGTCCTCAACGTCAAAACGGACCCCCCCCCCCCCAAAAAAAAAAAAAAAAAAAAAAACGCCGATGGTCGGAGCACCTAAATCCTTACTCGATAAATGGATACGAATAGGTGTCACCTTATTTTATAATGGCTACTCTGTGTCAAACTAAACATATTTGACACCAGAGCCTTCAAACGCACTTTGAAATTGAAAGATATAAGAGTGAAAAGTAATTAGGAAAGCAGCAATTGATTTAGTTCTAATTGTAAATTTTTATTATATTGTTTACAGGCTTACCATGACCCGGAAGAAGATTATGCTGTTATTGACAAGAAAAAAAAGAGCCGACGAGAGAAATGATATGATGAAAAGTACATTTTAAAAAAGGTCCATGCGTTCATTTTGATAATAACATCTAAATTTCTTAGCATAATTATGTGCATATTTAAATTAACTTCTAAAGATTTCTTTAAAAAAAAGATTAGTTTTTGTTTTGTTTACTGTTTAAATGTAAAACGACATACCAATTCAACCAGTTGGCTTACAAGTAGGCTTATACATATCACTTTTCCATTTCATATTTCACGTTTACGACTAAAATTCAAGGGTGAAATAGTATTGTTCCCGTTACATATCTCTTTAGATTAAAAAGAATAATAATTAAACACAAATTATAATCTCTTTACATTAAAAAAAGAAAGACGGATGACAAATAAATATTTATGCACTTAATTAAACATCTAAATCAGTGCACATACAAATCACCAATGCGAAAATCATATATTCTATATTTTAGTCATATTGAACGTTTTGGTTTTTTATCCCATATTGTAGCTGTGGAATGTCAAATTGATTAATAATTATATTATACAGGGAATGACGCGATTTGATAAAGAGTCGAAAGTTTGACTGACATGCATGACAAACTTATATGTGAAAGGGATTTTGGAGAATCCGGTTAAAAAAAATGGAAATACGACTATCAGAGAAGATCTTGGTTCTAAAGACGGAAAGTGCAATCAGGCGATGATGTGTATTAAACCCTCCTTCTTACGAACCTGACTAGCTTGGTGGTGTACTCGATGTGTGGTTTAATTTTTATTTATAATCAACAGCGATGCTATATCAACCCAATACGTACTAAAAATAGTGTAAATAAACACAATCTTTTTAAAAATAATATACAAAACATGTTTCAAAGTAGCCTATATGATTAGAAATAATGATAGATATATTTAGATCAAATTATACAAATATGTGCATTGATATCGAAATGTTTCGGTTATGAGTTTATAATCTTAAATTTTTCTGTTCTAAGACCATTTTGAGATTTCGGAGAGAGAGAGAGAGAGAGAAAGAGAGAATGAAAGAGGGTGATTAGAGAACATGCTAAACATGCACAAGTTGTTTACACTTTTCGTGTTATATCATGCAGCATTTTTTTTGACGAATGGGTAAAGAATATTTTTTCGAAAACGTCAATGCATTTTGTTTTAACGATGGTATTTGAAAATATTAGCCAATTGATAACGATTAGAAGAGTTTTAATTATTTAGGTATGTCAAGAAATAAATGAGAAAACAAATACTGGTGTGAGGTAGGGTCCATGGTATAATAATCAAGTCGCACACAATAATACTCCGGCAATGAAAATTAAAAGCGCAAGGTGAGAGTAATGCAATAATCATTATAAGCTTGCCTTGTGTCGTTATCAAAATGTAGGACTTAAAATTCAAATTTTGCATCAATATTATTTCATTGTAAATAAACTTGTGTCACCAAACAGTGGTCTTGATATTTTGTTGCTTTATTTAAATGCATTAGCACAAATACGCTTATCGTTATTAATATAATAATAATAATAAATAAACAAAATTATGAATTTGCTCGTGTTGATGTATTGTTGTTGTTGTTTTTATTTCCGAAATCAGATAACAATATTATACATAGTAAAATATACAAAATAAAATATTTATACATGTACATAGACAAAAAAAAAAATCGGTGGATAGCCCAATTCAGCAGTGTTTATAGAACACTACTGTTCTTCCTTGGGGTCCTGTATCATCAACTCTCCGGTCCCTTTGATGATTGGGAATTTGTATGAAAGAGACATAAGCCTTTAACGAGAAAGTAAGTGGGAGGAAAAGAGAGGGAGAGAGTAAAAATAGACAAAGGTAGAGAGAGAGAGAGAGAGGGAGAGAGGGGGAGAGGAAGATAGAGAGAGATGGCTAGAGAGAGATAGAACACGAGAAAGAAAGAGAGAGAGGAGGGACACGAGAGGCTTTGAGGGAGAGAGGGGTATTTCGTGTTGTGTATCAGTTTGGCCATGTATACAAAACATCTAAGATGAGTACCTATGGAAATAACATTAGTGAACTCGATGCTTCTTACAAATTCTCCAGAAGCATAACCAAAACCAGCTCCAAGCTTTTACTACTGGAATTTTTATATAATACGTGAAACGGCAGCACCGGCAGATTCATTTCGCAACAATACATCGAATAACCATAAATACATCGACATGGAAAATGTTTACCAAACGTCCTCAGCGGGGCAAGATGTAGACCTTGGTGGATATCTTTTTCCCGTATGTGGACTCCAAAAGCGAGTTGAGCGAAAACTGTGGAAAACTCATTAACCAGTGTGAAACAAAAAACATGACATAGAGTTGAATCCATGAGTATACGGACATGCATACTGTAGGTGAAATACACATGAAATCAACGATGGAATTAGACAGTGTTGCGTCAGCGTTCAGTTGTTGCTAGTGTGTATGATCTGTCATTTGTAATGATGTTAGCAAGTGTGCTAAAAACAAAAGACTATCGAATGAGAGCCATATTTTGATGATGTCAAACCAACACGGTCGAAAACGATTTTCACTCTTCAGTACGATGAAAACTGAAAGTGATGTCAAATTCGATTATAAATGGAGGTTATAAGTACTGTTCAGAAAACTGAAAGTGATATGGAGGTTATAAGTACTGTTTTAAAAATTGAAAGTGATGTCAAATTGATTATCAATGGAAGTCATGAATACTGTTCTGTTCTGTTAATTAAAATGCCTCCTTAGTTTTATCACCGATAAAACAATATGAAGTTGTATTCAAAGTATAAAATGATTATCTCATATATATATTCAGTAACTTTACCTCTTTGTGATACATAAAGTAATCGTTATCGTAAGATGGTAACTGACGCAAATAATTGATTGTTCACAGCAAGCAGTGCACAAAAAGGTAAATAAATTCAATCTATCAATCATTTTATGATACATAAAGTAATCGTTATCGTAAGATGGTAACTGACGCAAATAATTGATTGTTCACAGCAAGCAATGCACAAAAAGGAAACAAATTCAATCTATCAATCATTTTGCTTTCCTTAACTTGGTATAGATGTGTTGTAGCAAATTACTTAGATATTGACATGATTTCATTTTAGATTGTAAATATTCATTATCATGATTGTGTAAAAAATGTACAAAGATTAATCACACATAATGTGTCACTTTTATTTATCTAAATTAATTATTTCACAATACTGTTAAACTTTTATTTGTCCTGACAGTGACAAGGATACCAATTCAGGTGTTATATCGCATTTAAATATACCTGCCTATCTTGCTTTCAAAATAACATGAGTTCTGACTTGTTTCTTGTTTCCTTCTTTTGTGTATTCTATAAGCTCAAACGTTGTCACAAGGCACTCATATAACATATAAAATAGGAAGTTAGTTAGCGAGTATCCTTTTGGATAAAAAGGTGTCACATGACACTCAATATGTTATCATAATGTGCAAGACCATGCAATTGGATAACACGGTATTACGCGTACAAAAGAGAATCTTCGTAAAGCCCCCATCTCACTAAACTAGTTCTCACTACGTTCTGGAAAATGTTGCCAAAACGGGCTCAAACTGTGTGCGAACGGATTTGAACGTAGTAGCAACTGTTTACGATCTGTTTAAGGACTTCATGGACGGGCTCGCAATACAATGTCTCTAGTACGATCCTAGTTCATTCATAAACAGCCCGCAATACGTCCATCTCGTCTGTAGCCCGTCCACAGTAGGTTCATATCAAGATCAGATCGGGTAAATTTGCCATTTCCAAAAGTCCAAACCCGTCCGTATTCTGTTTAAACCCGTTATTAATTATTGCTTATTAACTATAAATATTCGTTCCCAATACGTCTAAACCATTCTTACTAGTTCACAACTTATTCTGAATAGTTTATAACCCAAACACCCCGTACATAGACGGTACGATTCGTCCTCATCTCGTTCTTAGTGCGTTCGAACGCTCGAGGGCTATAAAAATACGTTAGTTGATGCTCGACCACGTCACGTTGTAACACGTTCCTAGTAGGATCGAAGTACGGCAATTTCGTTCATAGTACGTCCATCTCGTTTTAAGGACATTGTCACTCCGTCTAATTGCAGGACGGGGAAAATTTGAACGGGCTCAAAGTTCTAGAGCATCCTTCCCGTCCAAGCTAGCCCGAGCCCGTTGCTACTACGTTCACTCCGTTCGCACACAATTTGAGCCCGTTCGGCAACATTTTCCAGAAAGTAGTGAGAAATAGTTTGATGAAATGGTGGCTTCACTTGATTGTCTTGATCTGCAAAGATTGAAGTTGAACTGGAATGATGAATGGCGAGAATGCGCTTGGTTTTTCAAATTGCTCCGGTTGTCTCATTTTCGCTCGCTGGACATATAAAGCAGACGACAATCGGTGGATTAGACGACACTTGGTAGTGAATTTGTATGTGAGATTGCTTCGTGAAATATAAAATACAAGAACGTTTTCCATATCTTTAAACTTTCATTGATATCTGATAATTAAACAGTTATTAATATAAACCTACCAAACTATATAATACAATGAAATACTTGACTTAATGTACGAGAGTTTGATTTGGTGCACAATTGCACCCCTCTGTAAATAATCGAATAGTCCATGGCGATCATTAATATTCATGTTTTTGCTTACCTCGGCAAAATGTTTGCCCTTTTTCAATGGAAAAATTACGGTGGGGGGGGGGGTTGGATGAAATGGAAATAATGAACCGATCAGAACTGATCTATTATAATTCATGCTTCTTATCCTTCGTGTGCTTGACCTAAAACCATACAATCGCTTGGCAAACTGAGACCAAAGTTCGACTTGTTTCACATGTGTTATATAGTCAATGGCGAGCTTGCAACCTATTTCGATCAAATTACGGTGGGTGAAGTTTCAAAAATCAATGGGACATGAGGGTTCCAATGAAAGAGCTAGTGATAACGTACGTCGGGGTGGGTGTGCTTTTCGTTTAAACAAAAAATGAATTTCAAACTATTTTGGGGGGTAAAATTCCATAGGCTA